TCACTTGAGTAAATCAATAATTTCATAAGCTTTTTCAGTCTCACTCTTGTTATTTTTTTAATGGAGATAGTCATTTGTACTTTGAATAATTATTGGGAGGATAAAATTAGCTAAGTGGACAAAATAAGAATTTGAAAATTAGATCTGTGTATGTTTAAGAACCTTTACATTTCACTATCACATGGGAGTAAATCAAGTTTGGGGCTTTTTATTGACTATGAAAAGGTATTCGGCCGTGTGGATCATTACAAACTATGAATAGCCCTGAGAAGAATGGGAATTCCAGAACACGTCATTGTGCTTATGTGGGACCTGTATATGGGTCAAATGGTAGCAGTGCAAGCAGAATAAGGGAATACTGCATGGTTTAAACTCAGGAAAGGTATGCATCAGGGTTGCATCCTCTCACCATACTTACTTAATCTCTATGCTGAACATCAAGTTCAGAGGAAGGCTGATTAACAACCTGTGATGTGCAGATGACACAACCTTGCTTGCTGCAAGTCTTCACAACTGGACTAATGGATAACAAACATCATGATACATGGAGAAAAGATTGAAGTTGTAAGGATTTCATCTTCCTTGGATCCACAATCAGTGCTCCTGGGAGCAGCAGATATGAGCTCAAACAATGCTAGCTTTGGGTAAATCTGCTGCACAAGACCTCTTTACAGGCTTGAAAAGCGAAGATGATACTTTGAAGACTAAGGTGCACCTGACCAAGCCACAGCATTTTCAACGGCCTCATCAACAAAGTTGAACATCGAGTAAGGAAGACCGAGGAAGAATTGGTGCATTTGAATTGTGATGCTGGTGAAAACAGGGAAGGTACTGCGAATTGCCACAAGAGCAAACAAACCTGTCTTGGGAGAAATGTAGCCAGAATGTTCTTTAGAAGAAAAGACGGTGATACTTTGTCTCACATACTGTGGACATGTTATGAGGAGATACTAGACCCTGGAAAAAGACATTATGCTTGGTAAGGTAGAAGGACTCAATAAGTAAATAAATAAGAGGCAGGCCTTCAACCAGATGGATTGCCCCAGTAGTTGCAACAACAGGCTTATTAAGAACAACTGCAAAGATGGCACAAGACCAGGCGGTGTTTGGTCCTGCTGTGTAGAGGTTTGCTATGAGTCTTCAGCAACTAGGAATATTGGATTAGAGTATACTATGCCTGCGCTTTATACTTCTAGGAATAAAAGTTCTTTTAAAAAATATGTACTTTCTGTAAGGAGGGATACTGCTGAGTTGTTCAAAGTGAATTATTTTATACAGACATAGGCCTTGATGTGGTCATATGCTAAACAAGCAAGTCTATCCAGCCCTACAAAGAGACTACACTTAGAATTCTGAACTGGCTTTCAGAAAATATGTTTGTAGTTTAAATCCAGTCATCTGCACCAGGAAATTAGCCTATCTGTTACCACCTGGTGGTAGTTTACCCAAATCTCAGGTTACTTTTCCTGAGTGTTAGAAAAAAATCCCTCAATCAATACAACTCTCAATATACAAACATAAAGCAGGTTGCCAAGCTCAAAACACTTTAGGAATGTTTTACTAGGATTTTTTTTTTTTGGCATCTGTCCAAACGCTTCATTCACTTCCCTTAACACAGTAAATCTTTATCAAACGGAAGCTCCTTTAATGCTTTTACCACAACACTAATCCAGCTTCATTTGACATAATGTGCACTGTAGCTAACATGATCTCCTTACTGCTTCTCCCACACAGCCTGTAAGTTCTGTCTCCTGCTCATCTGGCCGCAGACAAATCAAACGTTCTCAAGCCGCCTCCTCCATAAAATCCTTCCACTTTGTCCAGCTGGACGCATCCATAA